TTTTTAGGGAATGAAGCTGTGCAGTGAGCCATTGAGTTCGTTTCAAGATCATTTAACACATTGACGACAGCCCCTTGTGCGTGTACCTCGGCACCTTTTTGTTTATTTTTTTCACAATCGTCATAACTTCTTCAATAATTCCACTACTGGTAATTGATGCACAGTTTTCGGATAAGATAATGCATGCACACAGTTTCTGAAATATGAAAAATGCCAGATAAATCAAAAAAAAACTAGCCAGAATCGGGTGAAATTGAGACGCGCAAGCGCGTCTTACTGTCGTCAGTGTGTTAAAGAACTGTTTATTTTGCTTGCCCTCCCGTTCTGCGATTTCAATTTGAGGACTTGTTCGGAGTTCATTCGAGTGTTGCTAGTAATGCTAGGATTCCATATTATTTTTGATGTCAAGTTCTTCCGTTGCCAGGCATCATTTCTAGGATCTTTATCCAGTACTTTATGACTTGGCTATGCATAGCCGTCCTCTGTTCGTTTATTCTTTTCGATTTGATGAATTTTACGAAAGTGGCTGGAGTACTATAATTGGTTTGAGCTCTTTATACAGACATTGTGTCGGATACTCAGGCCCGTGCGAGTGGTTTTTGGGATTGATCATTGGAAGCAATCCACCAGTCGTAGCTATTCTTTGCTCGCGCTATGGTCCGTATACCAAGCAGTAGGCGTTAGGGCCCGAATTTCCCTACAGGACCACCAAGGAGCTTATTTAGTTCATGGCAAAGACCTGTTGACGAATAATGTGGACCCTGAGTGAGCGGTCTCTCGATGCTTGATTGGTCATTGTTTCATGGTCCAATAGCGCATAAGGTTTACTATATTTCGGATTCGGTACCTATCTGAATCTGTATTGCAGACCTAGCAACTTAAGGTGGAATGAAATATCCAGTAGCGCCAAAAACACGGGACATTGATTTTTTTCAAGACCCTCGCTACGTGTGCTACTATTCTGCAGAGGTGTGGTTCGTTAGGACAGAAAGCACTTTCCCGCTTTTCGCGCGCGAAACTTTTTTCGTTTTGAGAACCCCAGGTCCAGTCGACGAGGAGTGGACCTTGGGTTCTCAGCAATAAGAAAGCTGTACGCCGCGAAATTCAAAAAAGCCAACTTTTCTGTCTCTGGGAGCCACACCCATTCTGCAGCATAGCAGTAGTACACGTGCAGGAGGTCTCGGAAAAAATCAATATCTTGTGTGATTTTTGATGCTGTTGATTATTTATTCCACCCTATGTTGCTATAGCCTATAGTCGAAACAAAGGCCGTACCACCCGTCTGGCTTGAAAAGTTCGTCATCAATTGTTTTTTAATGGTATAGTTGGATTTGCTATAGTTACCTTCAACAAAAGCTAGTGTCTACAGTGCTTAGTTGATATGACAATAAATCATTCCAGACAACAAAAAAAGAACCCGAACACAGGGGCCCCAACAAACTCGAATACATAGCTCACGACATACTGATACGTTTACATATGAACATGCTAGAAAAAAATAGCACCATAGAAGTCTGTGTTGGTGTGTTAATATACCAGTTTTTCACCGGTACTGTCACCAATACTCAGAGCCATTCCGAGTTCAATCTCGGATATATTGCTGCGTAGATCCTGCAGCATAGCGGCGATGCGTCAGAATCCCGTCTGAAAAATTTGAAAATATAAGTCATCGATCGATATAACCAAAGTTTGTAAACCTTGCACTATGAAAGCAACGCTGCAGTTTTTGTGCTTTTTTGTGAGACTGAAATGTTTTTCGGGTATAAAAATGTCACCTTCGTTCACTTGAGGACAGTCTACTGAAGGATCTTTAGAGTTCTTTTGGTCATTGTGTTCATTATTTCGAACGGGTTTGAATTGATATTTAAGCTTTGATTTAACCTTACCTTCACATTTGAGATATTTTGAAAATGATGTTTTTTTTTCTCATTAGCTCTGAAAATTACATGATGCCTACCGCTATTTGTCCCTGCGAAGACTTAAAAAAGGCAGCCCATTATCAGTGTCTCCCTTGGTGCCCGATTGTGTGACTCGATTGATGCCGGGCTATCCATCGGTGCCTGCCTTCAACGCTCTCTCTCTCTCACTCACTTCACTGCCTCTCTACTAACGGCTAGAGATCAGTCGGAGGACCAACGGTCGACCCATCGGTGCAGCGTGCAGCTGCGCTGCCGCGGTGCGGCAGGTCATACCGGGCATCTACTCAAAGCAATAACCCCAGATCAAAATACCTGCCCTCGATTGGCGTGGAAGGAGTTACAGCGACGGGGTGAATGCGGAGGCCGATAGCTGGGACGAGGGGGGCGGTGTTCGCCGACGAGTTGTCCGCGTTGCTTGTCTGGTGGGCTGCTCTAACCGCTCTACGTCGTAATCCACGTTGCGTGTCATGGGGTGTGCGCGAGGTATCTCGTCCATTAGCTCACACTAGCCGTCATTAGCTCTTTTGTAAGGCCCTTGCGCCATTGTCGCGAACTTTCGAGCCGCGACAACATCACTGCTGTGGCACTGGCTACTTCATCTTAGCCACAGAATAGATTGTTCGACGCGACCTTATCAGACCGCCGCTATAAGAGGCTCGACTGCCTTTCTATAGACATTTTCCCTTCCTTCGACCTCCGCCCTTATCATGGAATCCTTTTTTAACTGCTCCATATGTGAAATCTTCCGAAAAGAGCGAGGAATTCAAGTGATTAATTACCTTGCAAGGACTTCATCCACATCTGACGATGAAGATGAGGAGCTCAACGACGATGCACTTCGTGTAGTGTTTGACGACGAGGATTTTTTCCGAGGGAGATCTGGAAAAGGCATGTTTACAACAAGATCTCAAGGGCTCGTCCTTTTTGTCAAGGTCACAATTCCTATCCAAACAAATTTCGGGTTTGGTGTAGGCGGGGTTCGAGACATTCGAGACAATTTGGCGGCTTCATATAGGGTCACTATGATCGATCTAGTAAATTTTCAGGAAAAAAGAGGAGAGGAAAGATATTGGTCTTAATTATTCCAGTACTTCACTTATTTGATAGCAAATGTTTTCGAGCTTGGGATGGTTCAATAATAGAATGTATAAAAGTAGCGCATCCTTAATTGCTTCCTTCTGCTACGATTACGGGCGATCATTGCTTCCGCGACCCTATCGCTTAATCTTTTGATCCCAAAAACCGTGCCTTCGTGAAGCATTATCAACAGGGAATCGAGGGAACGGGCCAATCTTGCCCCTCCCGAATGCGATTGTTTACAATCTGAAATTGGTCCCTTCACTAGTCAAATTGGTAGTCAAAGTCAGTGTCAAAAAAGCGATAGTATTGCCACATGCCCACAGAATGCTGCGAATTGGCAGAAACTAGTGAGTGAGTGAATGAATGAATTCAGGATACTTGAGCATGTTTGTCTGGGAGTGGGGATTGGTTGAGCTTACAGGATGGGTATCCCGTTTACGTAATCTGCGGTTAGAGAAGGGCGTAAAAATGCTGGACCGATCAAGTTTAGAACGACCGCCACCCATTGTGGATACAGGGGTTTCATGAGATTTATGTGGGAGCATGTGCACTTTGCCTCCCATACTTTGGTGTAATGCAGACTAAGCAACTTTTGCTTGAAATAAATAATGGACAGAATCAAAATCACCTGTATTGTTTCTAACGAGGCCTTACCAGGGAAGGCATTCAAGTTCCCATGAACTTTGAATCAAGGCCTAGATATATCGATAGAGCTGAAAGGCTGATTACGAATATGGCAACTAAAACTGCAAACTGAACCTGCTAAGGAAGTTGTGAGCGCAGTCAAAAGATCGGTGGAGTAGCAGCATTAAAATGACATCGTCTAGTGTGCGGCAGCTTTGAGATCCGACGTGGAGTGGTGGTACGTGCTCTTGCTCTCCAGCTGGTAGTGCATGAGCTCGTTGCTCCTGCTGGAGTGCAAACGTTTTGAAGAGCCACTACCCATAATTGACGACGACTCCTGAATGGTGCGCCAGCGCTAGCTCGATTCTTACATAAGCCTTTTCCTAGACCCTTTGACTGCTCACAACTTCCTTAGCATGTTCATCTTGCAGTTTTGGTTTCCATATTTGTAATCAGCGTTGAAGCTCTATCGATGTATCTAGGTCCTACTTCAACGGTCCATGGAAAGCTGAATGCTTTCTACGGTTAGTCACGTGTACTGCTGCTTTTCTGCAGAAAAAACGTAGCCTCGAAAAAAATCAATGTCATGTATGATTTGTGATTTTGCCGATTATTTTGTGTCTTGCATATGTTGCCAGTTTACAGTGCAGACCCACCTGGCCTTGGGATACAAAGTGTGATTGCCCGAATAAAGGACTTACTTCTTGCGTAGGCGAGGCGGCACCATTGCAGTGCTTCTTCGTCACACAACGCAGCGTACTCGACACACATTTGTGAGAAGCGTAGAACGGCCAACAGGAACGGTTCACCACGTGCTGGCAGGGCTGACAGCAGGATGCGGTGGTGTTCCTGGAATTCAGTGTGGTTTGTGGCTCTTAGGTTTTGGGTTTTCCGAAGCTGGGTGCAAGAATCAGCTCAGGGTACTCGAAGCTCTTAATTTGTTCAATCTTGGAGTTCCAGAGAAACGTGGTAGTTGTGATTTTAAGCTCAGGGGCATGGGAGGGGGGAGGGTGCACTAACCAAATGCTGTGGAGCAGCTCCAGCCCGACAGCCCCGGCTGACGCAATGGGATGCCTGGGATCAAGTCCGCACTGTGCCTACAGTTTAGGCTCATTCAGGATGAACCAGGACTTGAGTAATTTTCAAATGGATGGAGTGGCTAACTAGGATGTGTCTCTAGACAGACCCTGAGACGACATAACAGCCTAAGGGTGCTCTAAAACTTGGGGGATTGGGCCTATGTTTTGAATGTCAAGTTTGGGTTTGGACTTAGGTTAAGGCTTATGCTTACACATTGGCTTATGCCTAAGCCTATGATTGGGCCTAGGCTTAGTCCTAAGCTTGCTCCGAGCGAATGAACGGCGTCTCAATTTTAGGTGACCTGACCCCAGGAGGAGAAACGCTACGCACCCGGGCAGTACTGGCAGCATATTTTCTGAAGGCTGTCATACTCTCAGCTATGAACTCTAATCTTTTGACCGAAATTTTTCGCGTTATTTCTCCAATTCCTCAAAGGCATATTACGCGCTGAATGTATGGGCGAGGTCAGTTCCTAGAGTATGCCATTCTCAGTAAGGGGGGCCTCCTTTGCGTATCTCGAAACGAAGGGCAAGCCAATGTTAAGTGAGCAGTGCTTCAACTAGGTCTCGCTTTAGGTTCAGCGTGAAACATAAGTTTGAGAGTAGGGGAAATCCTAGGATCGACTACAGGAGATAATTTTCAAAATCACCTTCATTTCGCGAAAATGTCGATCCATTTCGCTAGTGAAACCGGCAAATCGAATTGTCGTATAAATCCAGCACAAGAAGGCTTGGTATTCGAACACGAAAAATGCCATTGACGAGTCATCTGAAAGCAATTGTTTGAGTAGGGAAATTTTCCCCGGGGTTGTCACTAAAATTTTTGACCCGAAAGAGCGTCTGTGATACATATGGGTATCGATCGGCTACTTCATGCCAATCATTCTATCGATAACCTGCACCGCAAAATCGTCTTGATAGGTAACTCTGGTGCAGGGGTATTGTAACGGGCAATCAATTGGATAGGCAACTCGGCGATCTGGCGTGTCATCGGAGGATCGGCTATTTTCAAGTGTCTAGTTTTTTTAAGAGTACTCTTGTAAGAGTACTGCAGAATAATTCCAAATATTCACCCTACAACTCGTTGACAGATAATAGTCCTCCTATAAGTCGCCCACTCCCAAGATGTCGAAGAAGCCGCTGCTGCCTACCAAGTCCATCCTCCCCGGCAGAGCCAACCACTGGGCAGCTCTAATAGGTGTGATGGCAGTTTTTCTGAAGTTACTACAGGTCCCAGAAATTTCTTTTCTTGTCTGCGAAAATGTACTAAATAGACCCTATCGAAAAATCTCAAGTGCGACTCTCTCGTTGCCAGCTGACATACCGGACACTTAAACCTGACCCTGCTGCTTAATATGGAAGACAAGTCATGGATCCTCCGAAGTTCCTTGCTTCCTTCGGGCGCAGCAGTCCCTTTGAGACAATCACAGGAGTTTTCTACTACTATCTGTACCTCAGTAAACTTCCTCGTATCCCAGCTCTCCTAATTTTCCTATTGAGAGATATAATCGACGAGTATGGAGGGAGGAGGGGGGATAAGGTTAGGAAATTGAAAGTTAGTGAGGAAAGTGATGACGTCGCAATCAGGCGCACATTGTTTCCGAGGATGGGCATGTCGCAGTGGCAGACTCAGCAACATAAATGGCATCAGAGAACATCAAAACATGAATAAACACACGATGTCGATTTTTCGGAGGCTGTCGTCACGTGTACAGCTGTGTCTGCAGTTACGGCAATGCCCAGTCGTGGGAAAACCCGAGTTTTAATCGTTCTGTCAAAATCATGAGGTGCGAGAAATCGCTTCGTAGACTTGGAGTGGAGAACGCGGCCTGTTTCAAATTTCCCCCTATGTTCTCAGTTGCGAAAAGCCGGAGCGCAGACAGGTAGAGGACGCTGCTGTATTAGCTTCAAGTATGTTAGTCACAAAATCCATAGAGCAAGGGAATGCAGGGGTGGGGTTGGTAAGCCAAAAGGTGGGCGAGAGAGCGCTGGCGAGTGCAGTGATTGGCATTTTTCATGAGGGTACTGAGCAGGTGGAGTTCAACGTAGGCCCGTTGACCGGAGCGGAATGAGACGAAAAAGTTAGAGACACAGAGGGATTGTCTAGATGTCCAACCTGTTCTGCTAATAGGAAATAAAACAAGCGTGCAAAGTGAGCTGTACCAACGCCTTACGCACTTCGTCTTTGTTCATCGAGTAGTTCACTGCGCAATTCGAACAATGTGGCACAAGCTTCGCGTAAACACCGCCTCCGCTCCGCGACCGTCCGTTGCGTGGCGTAGTCGGCCTGCAGCTCTCGCCGAAGCTGATAGACATCTTCGGGTGTGAATTCTGGAAAAGAAAGATCTATTTGGGCGCCTAAATAAATAAATAAAAATAAATAATAAATTCGAACAATTCGTTTGGCTTTTTGGAATTTGAACAAGTTATGTTATTTGAATAGTTCGAAGATCGAGAGCGGTTTTTTAGCGTCAAAATTTGGTTTATTATCGGAATTGGTAGGGTTTTGTTTTTAGGAATGCCATGCATTTGGGTATGTAAAGAAGCGGTTTAAAAAATTCTAGCCTTTATGTGAGTGTACCAGTTGATTTTTAAGTGAGATAGAATAAGGGGCAACACAAGCATTAGTCTTGCTCAGCTCATTTTTTTTTTTCTAAATGATCGTCGAGCGGGGGGGAGGAGCGATAAGTTAAGTAAGCCTCATGAAATAGCTATTCCTTCAAATTTCTCTATTTTATGGTTCGTTCATAAAGTTTTCTTGATCATTGTCGAAAACCTTTCTGGCACGCATCCCCCTTCCACATTTTCCGCAATAACTTCTACGAGTACTCACCCTACCTCCTCTCCCCCCTCCCCCCTCCCCACCTCGTTGCTACTTTTACCACCCGGGTGATACTGGTTGGAATTGTCTGAAATCAAACTCTTTGAGATCACTGATGAGCCGACTCAGCGATTATTTCATGTATTTTACCCTGTATATTACCCTTTACCTATATTCTCAGTAGCCGTAGGGGGCACTTTGTGACGTACCGCACTTGGACGGTCCGACATTGCCTTGGGCATTTGAATATTCCGCAATTCTACGTGGATTTTGGGAGAGTGGCTTTTCTCAAGAGGGATTTATTGCCGAAAAACTCATCTTTACCCTCTCATCTCTCACTTTAGCGACTTTTGTTAAGATAATTTGAGAGACCAAAAACTTCGCGCAAATCGTGATGGGAAGTTCTCTTGAATACTGAAGAGTTAGCTTATGGAATAATCAGTGATAGATTCCGCGACCCATCCCAGTCGGCTGGATTAGACTCACCTTATGCCGCTTCTCTTGAGACTTCGGAGACATCGGGAATTGTAGGAGGTGACCTCGCTATGTGGACTGAGTGATGAACTCGATGGTAAACTGCTGAGTGATGAGTGATGAGTAAAAAGCGTATCTGAAAGCGATGTTATAAAAAATGGAATCGAACTGCAAGTAAGGGCTTTCATAGCCGAGTAAACTTCAATATGGGATCGTTGAGCACAGGCCCGACCATTCGTTGGGTGAAGCTCAAAGGAGGGCTTTCGGGAGGGGTCGTAATTGATGGTATGGGCGTTGTATGTTTGGAAGAGATAGGATATAGATGAAAGGAGAAAGATTTGAAAAGTAGTTTTCAGCGGAAATTCCAGGTAGGGGGAGGGGGGGGGGAAGGACGGTGGTAAGTCACGGAATTCAGGCTACGCGATGGTTGACCCTGGTTGACCATGAAAGTCACCTTTCAGAATAATTCTTAGAAAATAAAGGGAACGATACTATTCGGAAACTGGCGTCAGCATTTTATTAGTTCGTTTGGGATTGGTATAAGTACACATAATAAATAGGTGGTTATAGAGTGATGGCAAAAAGCGCTCATAGTAGTTGCATGGACAATGGGATCAAATCCTATGCTCAATCGTCCCTGTTCTGGGTAACTGGTGGATACGCCGTGCCTTCGACTTGAAATATCCTGATTGAATTGGTCCTATGTATGAGCTGAATGCTCATGCAATTGTTTTTGC